GCTCAACCTACATCCACGTGGGCGGCCTTGTACGCAAGAGGTTCTGAACAGGGGGAGTTTAAGGAAGAAGATAAAAAAAATGATTTCATTTTTCTTGTTTTCTTTATGTTTTTCTTCGCTTTTGCGCTCTGATATCTTGTGACAATATATATATATGAAACTCCGACGAAACAGTTTGTCACAGCCCCTCGTTTGTTGTCCTCTTCTCTCTCTCTGCCTACGGTTTACCGGGCAGTTCTGTTTGTGACGATATATATATAGATTTCTATATATATCGTCGAATAACAGTTTGTCACAGCCCCTCGTTGTTGTCCTCTTCTCTCTCTCTGCCTACGGTTTTACCGGGCAGTTCTGTTTGTGACGATATATTCTATTTGACGATATATATACAGCCCGTCGTTTGTTGTCCTCTTCTGCCTCTCTGCCTGCGGTTTACCGGGCAGCTCTGTTTGACGATATATATAATTGGATTATCTGTGGGATTTGTCATTTGCTTTGTTTGACTGATAGGCTTTCTTTCCCTGTCAGGTTTGTTTCCTCCCCCCCCCCCCTCCTTTTCTTTACCTCTTTGCGTTTTGGCTGCGTGCAAGTGGGTCCTTGTGACACACGGGGATGGGTGGGGGCAGCCAGCGCTCAACCTGTCATCCACGAGGCTGGCCTTGTACATAAGAGGTGATGAACAGGGGGAGCTTTCCTTCCTTCCTTCTTTTCCTTTTCTTGTTTTGTCTTTTTCCGCCTTTGGGCTCCGATTTACAGTCTGACAATATATATAAATATGAAATTCCAATCCGAACAAAAACTATGTTATGCAGGGAAACAAACTGAACAACTTTTGTGTCAGTGTCACATTGAAATTCTTTGCCCAAAAAAAAAAAAAAACAAAAAAAAACATTTAAATTTTAAACCAATGTTTTTATTTTTATTCTCTTTTGCCCCGGGACCAAGCCCCACATGGACCGTTGAACTAGCTCAACACAATGGTGTGACACGTTTTTTGCCACTTAAAACTCAAAACAAAGGCAAAAAAGGAGAGTCAAATGCTGCAAACAAAGGCAAAAAAAGAGAATCAAATGCTGCTGAAAGCTTTTTTTCGGAAAATTTTCCTCTATGTCACAAAAAAACAATGAATAACCAAATGCTACTGAAATCTTTGTCCGTACTTTCTAAGAAGTAAAATGGAAAATACAACAATCCTCAGTGAAAGGCTCCACATACTACGCGACGTCGGAGACAGGGACTCACCAGAACATGAAATGAACGTAGACCGTACTCCTGGCTTGGTGCATTCGCAGAAGTTTAACGAGTTTTTTGGGGCTGCACAGCCAAACACAGCATGAACACTCTCTGTCAGACTGAGCGTGTCCTCCCACAGAAGGTCATGATGGTACAAGCACTGTTGAACCCATACCCCACTCCAAGTGGGGTATGTAGTTCTACGGAAGATGGGCGGGGTAGGGGGCGTTCTATTCGGGCGGAGGGATTTTTCAGCACCTTTCTTGAACCAAAAAACAAAAACGAACGTCTTTGTATTTATACACCTAATAAGAACAACCGCTGGATGTGCAGCGCCCGATGCATCTCAGACGTCGCGTGGGGTCACACACGTTGAGCTATTCAATGTTGAACTGGCTCTCAACGATGTATGTGGGACTTGGTCCCTTGGCGGCCCTCGGCCGGGCAAGTGGTCCTGGCCCACTCGGGTAACACAGCCTTCCACGAGGTTCACGCATTTTGCACATATTTTGGACATGTTACGGCATTCTGACGACGTTTTTTGGGGGGATGATTTTCTGCATATTATTTGTATTTTTTTTTGGCAGTTTGCAGCTTTGCAGGCCTTCCAGCACACTCTTCTGACTCACCTACTCCTCCCCGTTGTTTTTGTCGGCTCAATAATAATAATAATAATAATAATAATAATAATAATAATATAAATAGGCCTTCCGCCAGGTTCACGGATAAGGATGGAGGCAAGCAGCGGTTCCTCTTGGAATTGGAGTTCGTGCAGTGTTTGGCCAATCCTGCCTACATCAACTGTAATAACAATCGTTTCCCTATATCACCAAATCCTCCCCCCCCACCCCCCCCGACCCTTTACTCCCGAAAAAAAATTGCTGTCGTCCTCCTTTTTCTTTCCCTTTTTTCTTTTTTTTTTTTGTCGTCCTCTTTTATGCTTGCGTTGCTAATGGGATTTCCACCTGAAATGAAGTGAAACTGTGCGACTCTCTCTTAAATCACCAGTACCTCCRAAAGTCGCAGCGGTTAACAAGCCGCAACAATGATGAACGAACGGGCCACTACAGCAGCGCCCACATTCATCCGAGTAGAAACGCTTCAGCCCCTATTTTTTCCGTCGGCCGATATATGGGAAAGGAAGGTACTGGTGGTCATTAAACCACGAGTACTTCCTAAAGTCATGCCCGTGAACAAGCCGTGATTTTAGGAAACGTACCGGCCACCGTGCCGGCCACTACAGGAGTGCCCAGATTCATCCAACTAGACACGATTTTTATAGCTGGGCCAAGTACTGGTGGTTTAAACGCTGCACACTGCGCAGGTTGGGGAAACTGCAGGCCCTGCACATTGCTCAGGGCCTCGCCGCACCACTCACCAAATGGGCAAAAAAGATGAGAATGAATCTTCCCGTAGAACATGGGAAGGAGGAGGTTCACCACCATAATTTTTGCTTGTGCATTTGGTGAGTGGTGTGGCGAGGCCCTTATTCTGTGTGGAAAGTTTAGCACAACCCATTCTTGAGGCTGCATGGTGCCGTCCGTCGATGTGTTACCTTGTGATGCCCCCCACTACTGTGAAATAAATAAGCGATTGTAGTGAAGATGGGGGGGGGGTTCCCAATGCCCTCTGTGTATGAGACAAATCCGACCATAGCGGCTGTACCTACTGATGAGAGGCATGTATAGGTGGCTATAGCACGGGACCGCCACGGGGCTAGAGGATGGCTCTTGTGATCCTGAAACCACCACCGCATGTAGATCGGATGTCTGCTTTTCCCGAGGCTGGGTTTGATGTGCCCTCGCGTGGCCTCGGGAAAAAAAAAAACAGGGGTGTGGTGGCGGTGAGAAGAAAAATGTGGCCGTCAAGCTGAACCGTTTGCAATCGAGATCCGACTGTCCTCGCAGGTAGCAGCGGTTCCTGTTTATGCATGCTGAAGGCCACTGTTGGGGCAACCTCCTTCTGCACTACAGTGACATCAGGGGCCATGTCCACTGCAGTCGGGGTGTAAAACACCACTTTTTCTCCACAAATTGTTATTGCCCGCGAAGATAACGTTAACGTAAGGACCCTTGATTTTTTTTTGAGAAAAAGTGGTGTTTTACACCACGACTGCAGTGGACACGGCCCATTGATGATTCTGTCTCACCGACAAATTGTTATTGCACTCGATGATTCTGTCTCATCTGACTGCCGATCAGGATTTTGATACCGTCTTCCCGCGAATATAACGTTATGGGTTTTGAAGCTGCATCTGGACTGAAAGTTGACCCATATACAGCTGGACCTATAATGACCGTAAGTTCGATTCGGGGATAAAGTAGGTGGGTGGTCCATAAAACATGCAATACTAATCTGCATAGACATCGTCTCCGTATGAGCTGCATCGGTTGAGATGGCTATGGCGCCGAATAATGCTGGCTTAGCCAGCTATGCAATCTGAACAGCCCATACTCAGGTGGGTATTCAGAATCTGAACAGCCCATACTCAGGTGGGTATTCAGATGGCTATGCTGATGGCTATTCAGATGGCGCTATGCAGATGGCGGTATGCAGATGGCTGTGCAGATGGCTATTCAGGTGTCTCTGCCGATGGTTATGCGGATGGCTATGTCGATGGCTAAGCGGATGGCTATTCCGCTGGCTATTCAGATCGGTTGAGATGGCTATGCGGATGGCTATTCGGATGACTATTCAGATCGATTGGGATGGCTATGGTGACGACAATGCTGGCTTAGCCAGCTATGCAATCGGAACAGCCTATACTCAGGTGGCTATTCAGATGGCTACATCGCTGGCGATGCTGATGGCTATTCAGATGGCTATGCAGATGGCTATTCAGATGGCAGTGCAGATGGCTATTCAGATGGCTATTCAGGTGTCTCTGCCGATGGCTATGCAGATGGCTATGTTGATGGCTATGCGGATGGCTATTCCGATGGCTATTCAGATCGGTTGAGATGTCTATGCAGACAACTATGCGGCATAGCCCGCTATGCAATCTGAAGAGCCTTTACTCAGATGGCTATGCTGATGGCTATGCTGATGGCTATGCAGATGGCTACGCAGATGGCTATTTGGATGCCTATTGAGATGTCTATGCCGATGACTATTCAGATGTCTATGCCGATGACCATTCAGATGGCTATGCGGATGGCTATTCAAATGGCTATTGGGATGGCTATGCAGATTGCTATTCGGATGGCTATGCCGATGGCTATGTACTTTGGATGAGTTGAGAGAAACCTGTCACATTCAAGCACAGCACATGGATATGGTATCCCTTAAACCACCACTCCATTCGGGCCTATTTTGACAAACTAAAAGTTTTTTTTTTTTTTTTTTCAAATTTTTTGTTTTTTTTTTGACAAACCAAAAGTCGGATTTCACTGAGCCTAAAATCTTCCAGTGCCGTGGTGAGGGGAAAAAAAAAATTGTGGTTGGTAGACTTCCCTACGGAACCTCTACCGGGCCTGGGCACTGTATCTGCATATTTTGGCCCGGCACTTGTAGGCTAGAAACTGAAATGTGCAGAGCGCAAGAGCGAAAAATGTCAGAGCGGCGGTTTAAACTTTAAACCATCACCAGTACTTCCTAAAGTCGTGCCCGTTAACAAGGCACAATTTTAGGAAATGTACCGGCCACTACAGGAGCGCCCAAATTCATCCGACTAGAAACGTTTCTAGTCTATTCTTTTCCACGGCCAATATCTGGCCCAAGTACTGGTGGTTTAAGATGGCTGCTGCTCTGATGGCAAGATGTGCAGATGCAGATGGAGATGCTTGAGACCAAACATGTAGGAGAGTCCGCCCTTCCTCTTCCCTTCCTCTCCCCTTCCTTTCCCCTTCCTCTCCCATCCCTCTTCGCTCCCCCCCTCCCCCCCTCCCCCCCTCCCCCCTTACCCCCCCCTTTCGTCTATTTACCCAATTGAGAGTGTTTGAAAACCCATGTAGGAGTTCCTTTTTGAATTATGAAATGGTGTACTTTTTTTTTTTTTGGATGTGGATTTTGTGTAGATCTGGCGCAGAATCGGTACTTTGACAATCCATCGTTCATCAACTACCTCAAGTATCTGCTATACTGGACCAAACCTGAGTATGCCAAGTTCATAGTGTATGTTTCTCCGCTTCTCCCTCTTTCCCTTGCTCCCCTCTT